CCCCAAAACCCCAAAACCCCAAAACCCCGAAGCCCTTTCAAAATCTTGACTTAAAAAATAATTTAAAATAAATATGAAAAAATTGCATCAACTTAAAAATGACTCCAGAATGAGAAGACCATTGAAGATGCATGGTTCCAAGAGACGCTTAAGGAAATAAAGGTAAGATACTTAGGGCTTTAGTTCATGAGAAGGGGGTCTAAGTGTGTAGAACATGATAAAGTCAAGAACAAGCAGGTAGAAGAGAGTAAATAAGGTAGGCTTAGAGGGAATTTTGTAGACCGTCAAGTTTAAACAAGAGGAGGAAGTCAAGGAAATTGAGAAAGTAGCAGAACAGATTTGTATTAAGGATGAACTTTCGCAATTTTTGGGCAGGGTTAAAGCTGATAAGCCAGTTTTTGGATACCCAGGTAGATCGTGAAGGGGTTTATAGATTATAGACATAAATTATTCAGATACTGAAGTAGATGAAGACTCTGAAGAATCAAACAAAAGCAAATAAAGGTAATTGGATTATTTACTTTTATAGACTTCGCTAGAAGCTTAAGTCCAAGTAGACCTATTGCTAGAAGTCCGTGGAAATATTTACAGAACAAGTAAGGCCATTTCTCAACCTTATAGTATTACTGCCCACACTGCTAATCACATTGCATTAAATGTAAAGCTCTTTCTAATTCTTTAGAATTTACTGACAGAATACAAAAAGGAAGAGGATATGATAAATTACGTATACGACTGATTCACCAGAGGAAGACCTGTCCGTAGGGAAGAGTACAAGACCAAGCTCACACTTGATGATTTCAAATAAGGCTAAAAAGAAAAAGGCAAAGTAAGTACTTCGATTTTATTAAGTAGGAGGAGAAGAAGGAGAAAACTCAGGAAACAAAAAGGATCAGAGAGTAAAGGTGATGAGAATGAAGGTAATTATAGCGGTTAAGGGTTTAGAAACTACTAATACTATGCTAAGCTCAAGCGTCTCAGAGACAAGTCAAGAAAAGTAAAACACTTTAATTAATGATTTAGGCCTAGAAGATGAATGTCTGACCCAAAGATTCTAAACCAAGAATATCCATTCCAAAGTGAGAATTTGATGATAAATTTAGAAATTTTTGTGAAATTCCAAACACCTGTGCATATATCAAGCGAGAATTCAAACCAAAGTGTATATTCTAAATTTTACCACACAGTCAAGTCCAAAAGGGTCTGCTAAAACAGACCAACTAGGATATGCAAAGAAAAAGAGAAACCTTGCTCCATCCCATCATTCATCTTCCTCTAGTGAATACTCCGAATCTGAGCTAGAATTGGTACTCCGTGTCCTAACCTTGTAGATCAGAGAGGAAAAGCAAAAGGAGAAAGATGACTGTATTAAAGAGTTCTTAGCAGGTACAGATACTGCAGGAATCGACCTCCAATACAACGTACAGCTTGCAATAATCTGTAGAAATATAAATCAGAGTGGAAGAGGATCAAATAAAATTAAGAAAGCCAAAGAAAGAGAGAGGTATGGTCCAACTTTAGATATAATTATTCGTAGTTAATGGCCTTCTCTTTTGCATCATAGGTTTTGACATATTCTTAACAATCTTTCTTCTGCTTGATCTCTTCATCCATTGTCTTATTGTGTGCCTCTGAGGCTGATAGATAGAATACAGCTTCTTCTTCATCCTTGCTTTTGTATCTGGTCTTCCAGTGAGACGAGGGTAGTTTGAGTCATACTATTATAGAATTAGAGCTTCTTACTTCATGATTCTGATCCACTTGGTAAGGAGAAACACTTAAGATTTTTGAGTCTGAGTATTTTAGACTAAAATTAATACCATTATTGAGTTTTATCTTTCTACAACGACCAGTTGAATGATCTCTGGAATAAATTTTATTTTCTCTTTGAAGAACTTTTGCGATCTTTAGTTAAAGCAGCATACTCATTTTCAAATGGAGCTATTTCTAAAGAATTATCATAGTTCATTTGGGTCATCCCTGAATCTAAAATCTGTCGATTTTTCCAGAAAAATATATCTTTAGTATGCTGGGCAGCAGCTGTATCAAAATTAATATTCAGCAAAATAAGTTTTATCAAGCCAAATTCCAGAATTTAGGTCAAAATTTTAAGCAAAAATACCTATTGAATTTGACTGGGCAGCTCTAAGACCCCCGAGATAGTCTTTGAGAGTTCTCTTTGTTTTAGTCTTATCATACCTGTATTATCAAACTATTTAACCAACCCTAGCTTATTTTCTAGTTCGGTAATATCAGAGTCGCTACGAATCATGCCCGAATCTTACTTTTGAATTACTTTCTGAGGACTCTTAGACTTCCTCAAATTAGACATGTCGATACTCTTTGGTTTGAAATAGTTCATAGCACTGTCATTGGTAATAGTAGAGTATAATATTCCATCTTTCTTCACGAGTTTATAACTGATAAGGTTAGATAATGAAACTCACTTTCAAGCACCTCTTTTGATTTGTTGAGATCTGTTTAGCCTTCTCTTTCTCTCCATTTCAAATTGAGAGATTTGAGTCGCTCTTGGCACTAAGAAATCAATCTACCTGCTTTACCTTTAGAACCACTTTTAAATCTATAAGAAATTAGAAAATCTATTAGTTGAATTTAGGCGACTTACTCAGTTCCCTTTATCAATATATTCGAAATCCTTCCTTCAAAGGGTGTATGAGCTCTCTGAGTAGAATTCAGCCTCCTTTGTGGCTCAAATAGCTCTCCTTCTGCCATCACATACGGAACAGCAGGTGATTTATGGACTTTGAAATCTTTATTCCCCCTATAAAAACCACTCTCTCCACCCACTCCTTCACCCCAAACCCTACCTCTCACTCTTCTGCTTCTGTTTCTTGACCTGTATCATTTGCTGATACCTCTGCAATAAGACCTTAACTTTATTCTGGCCTTGCTCTTCTCTTTCCTTAGCCTGGCTACTCTCCATCTTAAATAAATATTTATAATTAATTTATTTCTTAGGAACAAATAAGAAGAAAACCATCCAGCTGAAGAAGGACATCAAGAAGAAACTTTATGAAGGTAAGCTTTGGCGATTATCTATTAATCGTAGAGGAAAGACTCAAGAAACTTAAAGAAGAGACTGAGTAGGGTGCATGGGTGAGGGCTATAGGTTGCACTTGAGAGAGGCAGAGGGGAGTAATGAGAAATTGCCTGATAATGAAAAGTGTAAGGGTTAGAGTGGATTTTTAGATACGAATTGTGGGTTGTATCCGAGTTTGATGAATGTTGATGATATTAAGAATACAAGCATCCTAGCGTTTAAGGGGTAACCTTAGTAAACAAGATATAACACTCCTGAGAAAAAGGAGGTTTGTTATTAAGGATAAATTTACTGCTTCAGATAAAATTTCAGCTTCAAATTCGATGATGAGGATGCAAAGAGCAGCGACATCTCAATCTAATTACAGGAATCCTTACATTAAACACACAATGTTTAAGCCAAATAAGAATTTAATGAAGCAATTAATAGAGGAGAGCAAGAGAGAAAGGAAGATAGAAATTAACCAGACAATGGATAAGTTCAAGGATATCCTTTGTAATCGGCAAAAGAGAAGAAATGTACCTTGAGATTATCAATTTTAGATAAAAATAAAGAAGAAAATTGCCAACTCAAGAAGTATTAAAGGTTCTACTAGAGATAACAGAGCCTTTATAAGGAAGTTACAAGAGAGTATAAATACCTCATTTGATAATGAGGAGAAGCAAGCCTACACTTCAAAGAATCTCAATGATTATTCTCTATATCCTAGTTCTAGAGGAAAGGATTTTAATCAGAGTTTTACAAGGAAATCAGCGTATACTTTTAACAATTTTTAGGACTCAAAATATGGCTCAGAATATGATTCAAAGTACAAAATCTAAGGTCAAACAGTTTGCGAGGCTCATGTCTGCCAGACCTGAGTTTCCTGAAAGAGTATCTGAATTCAGAAAATTCATCAACCTGTAAGGCAACTTTGAGATTAGAGCATATTTAAGAGTATATTCACACTAAAGCTGTTTTTATGAATTAAGAAGACAACTAACGTTGTAATAAACCTACACCTCTAGCAAAACCCTCCAAACATCCCACCCCACCCACAGCACCACTACCAAAAGAAGCCTCTCCAAAGTACACCTCCCCTCTAACTCTAGACCAATGCTTACTGTTCAGACTACAACTCCGCAGTGACAGTCCCTTCCTGTCCCCAGAATTCAAGGCCAAGGGTCAGGACAAGTTTTGAGAAATTAAGGAAGATTTAGGTTTAGAAATAGGATTTGGGGTTTTGGGGTTTTGGGGTTTTGGGG